AACAAGCCAAACCCTGACCACCAAACATGGTGTAAGCTGGTGTTCGGGACTCGTTCAGAACTTTATCGTTCTCTTTTTTTGTTCTCTTTAGCTTTCTCTCTTTCTCTCTGTCTTTCTCCCTCTCTCTCTCTCTCTCTCTCTCTCTCTCTCTCTCTCTCTCTCCTGCTCTTTCTCTCCCTCTCTCACTCTCTCACTCTCTAACTCTCTAACTCATTTTCAATTTTTCCTGGGCCTGCAAGTACCAACAGCAGCGACGGTTGCGGCTATGACTGCAATCATTCCTTCCTATCGTCAGATTTGTTATTCAAGCTGGACACACTATCAGAGCAAGAGGAGGAATGAGCGCACGAGAACAAACTCGGCGAATGGCGCTGGATTTACTAGGCTTCCATACCCCCAAACTCTCCTCGCCCCACAAGAAGACACTAGGCTTCCATACCCCCAAACTCTCCTCGCCCCACAAGAAGACACTAACACACAAAGAACAACTACCCAAATAGAGTTCAAACAGTAATAAGAGCAATAACAAGAATCATAGCAAAAATAATAATAAAAATAATATTAGTCATAAACATACTAACAACTCATGAAATGAAACGCCCGGGGCGCGTGCCGGCGGGAACGGCTCGCAGCGACCAAGGCCGCTGAGCATCAGGCGCTGGGCGCAGCGGACGTCGAAGTAGGTGACCAGGATACACCTCAGCGAGTTCCTCTTAGGGGTCGTGATAGGTTTAGGGGTTTAGGGGTTTGGGGGTTTAGGGGTTTAAGGGTTTAGGGGTTTAGCGGTTTGGGGGTTTAGGGTTTACGGGCTTAGGGTTCCTAGAGGTGCTGGTGCTGATGATGTTGCTCTTGCTGATGCTGCTGTCGTTGCGGTGGTAGTAGTCGTCGCCTTTGCCGCATCAGCAGCAGCAGCAGTGGCAGCAGCAGCAGCAGCAGCAGTGGCACTAGCAGTACCGTTCATAGGAGGAGCAGGAGTGGCAACCAATAGAAACGTCATCGGTATAAGAGAACCAGAGAGATTATTGCAACCATTAAGAGACGAGTCTTGTGATCTGTCGTCTCTGCCAATTGTTCGGGTGTCTCGTTCGAGCCTCTACATCACCTCAGACATCTGGATCACTGCCGAGACAAAATCCGATCCGGTATTCTGGAAGGTGCCGGTGTGGGTGACGTCAAACCTTGCACCCTGAATCCTCTGAATCCATACCCTCCAGAGCCGTTGTTTGGCTGGGGCTGCGGCCGTGCAATGACTGCCAAACTGGCATCTAGCCTGCCGTCAGTGCAAGTTGCGAAGAGTCGACATCGGGAATCGCTCGAAGCCCTAGCTCCAGCAAAGCCCCTAAGCTCCCTATCCGAGAATTTAGGGTTTAGGGTTTAGGGTCAACCTCAGCACTGCAAAGCTGCCAGGGGTGAGGGGTTGATAAGGACCTGCCTGGCAATCTCTCCATACTCTGCCAGGTCCTGGGCACGCAGTGGCGATGGAGCACACTGGACACAAGTCTTCGGCTTCTGGCACAAGCGGCTGCGCGTCCTTCACTGACTGGTCTTGAACGGCAGGCCAGTGTCCATCCGGATCAGAGATACAAACCTGGAAGTGAGCTTATACGGCCTAGGATTTAAGGCTTCGGCTCGTGCTTACACAGCATAGCCACGCAAGAACGTGATGTGGAATGCGTCTACAAGCGAAAACCAGGAGCTCTCAAGTTCCACAGCTTAGGGTTGCGGGTTGAGGGTGTAAGCGGTTGCAGATGCTAAGGGCTTGTCGCTCCCAACACACCGAAGCAAAGGGGTCTTTGTCCTTTGGGGCTCTGGCTTCTCTGTGCGGGGTTTAGACTCTTTCGGAGGTTGGGGCGCAACGAAATGACTGACAAGAGATAAGAGACCTTCCTGATCCAAGGTACACGCCGTGCCCGCATGGACTAGAAGCATTAAATACTCACAAACTACCAATAACACGAACAATTTTGACCATACGAAGAGTAGGTGACTAGCTCTTGTGGGTGTAAACTGATGACGGTGCTCTCCGACCTTGGGCTCAAGGGCTGAGGTCCAAGGGTTTAGGGTTTTGGGGTTCAGGGCTTTAGGGTTTAGGGTTTAAAGTTTAAAGGGACCCTTCAAAGAAACCTTATACCCTAAACCCCTACAACCCTATACCCTAAACGGGTATACTACGAGGCCTTGCCCTGAAAACAACCCTTAAAAAATCCCTTAGGGTTCTGAGGCCGATGCGGCCCGAGGCCCCCTCAGAAAGCTTGAAAATCCCCAAAATATTAATAGTAATAACCATATCAATAGCAATAATAAGATTAGCAGTAGTAGTAATAATGATAGTAATAGTAATAGTAGTAATAAAGATAACAGCAAAGACAGCCAGGAGCGAGGCTGTGTTCGAAAGAGATGCGGTGGAACCTCGACACGCCACACTCCCAGCAACAGAACCAAAAGTGCTGACGGTCACTGCACCTATGATGTCCCGAGAGGGATAGCGGGAACGGGAGCGGGGATGAGAGTGAGGATGAGGATGGTGATTGGAGTGGTCTGCACGATCGTGCTGATGATAGCATTGTAAAAAATAGTTCTTATAATGATGGTGATGATGTTGATGATGATGATGTTGATGATGATGATGATGATGTTGATGATGATGATGATAGCCTTGGTGACGACGGAAGCCATAGTTGCGGCGATGGTGGTTCTTCACGGATTCGAAGACCATGACGGCTGCGGTTGGTTCAGGGTTGTGAGAATATGTGATAATGACAGGCGACGGTGACGGTGACAGTCGTGGTCGTCGCAGCGGCGAGCCTCAGTGAGAAATAGCAGGCCTAACGAAAAAAGAAGGCCCAGACCCGGTTCGGGAAGCTGCTGCATCGTGGAAGCCTTGAGAAACCTCAGCGCGAGGCTGCGGATAAAGGATCTACTCACGGAGCAGACCGGAATTCGCAAAGCTTTGGGCTCAGGGCTAATATAGGAGCCTTAAGGAACTCCCCGCAGTAGTGTTGGTAAGCATTTCGGGCCCTATAGTATGCCAAGGGTTCATGACTCAGACGCCATACGAAGCCCTGGGCCCTAAACAGCCTGTCTTCTAGCAAAGCCTGGACTCTGACACCCGGATGTAGTAAACGCACATTTCTCCCGGGTGTGGCACGGGTTTGTGCTTGCCCTCTCGGCTTGACACGAGACATGCATCATGGGGGTTCGAGGTCGCCAGATATGTAAACACAGAGAGAAGATGGTCGTGAAGTTGGTCAGTAAATGGATGACACACACACACATATATATGTATACATACACACACATATTTATCTACAAACATACGCACATGTATCTGTGTGTAGATACCGATGGATGCGGTTCTTGTATGTGGCCCGACTGGTTGCATCTCCCAGGGCTGAAGCCTTAGGGTTCTGCATTGATTGCTGTCTTCGATCTGGCGGTAGCTCTCTTCATTGAAAGCTCGCAGGAGAAGAACGAGAGAGGAACGATCCCACGAGTATAAGCCATAGGACGCAATGCTGCCATAGCACCATCAGCACGCCGGCGGCACACAAAAATCATTCTGAAATCAGCTTGCTCTATCATATCGGCTCATTCCATGCCCGTTCCAGGAACCCGGGCAGCCCAACAAGAAAAAACGACGAAGCACTAACCCCGAAACAACCCTAAAGACCCTAAACCCAAACTCCTATAAGAGCAGCCACCAACTCCTTGTGAACGCCTCAAAAACCTTCTGAAACCCCCCCATACTTTCCAAAGCCCCCAACGTCACCAGGGCTTCTGACTGGTTGGAGTTCCACATAGCGGTGAGCGTGAGTGAAGAAGATGTGCCGTCCTGCCCCGGCAAAGGTCTGCTTTCAGGGCATATGTAAGGGTTTATGGTTTAGGGTGTGCTCACCCTAAACCTCACATTTCAACAGTTGCCCTAAACCCTAAACCCTGTAATGTTGGGGCTATGAGGCTTTGAAAGGCCTGGCCGGGTCTCAGTCTACAGTACGGTTCTGGGGCTGCTTTGTCTAGGGTGTTTGGTACGCTATAAAGGTACATGGAGCTTGGGGCTCTTGGATTTTAGGGCTTCGGTTGTTGGGCTGTGAGGTTGGGGATCTAGGACGTCAGAAATCGGGAGAACCCTCGAGCCGTAGTATCTTTCTCATGGCGACTCCGGATACCAGCGTTCACAAGATTATTGTTGGCCTAATCCATAATTCCTGTCATCAGTCTTGCGAAAACACATATTCCACAAGACCACGCAAACTGCTATGAGTATCTTGTCTTTGGCTGCTTGAGATTCCTATGTCATCGTCGTCATCACCATCATCATCATCATCACCATACTCATCATCGGCATGAACATGATCGTTCTCACAGCCCTTGCTGCTGATGTTGTTCTGGCTTCTCCTTATCTTGGCGATGGTTCTGGCTGTCGGTGTTGTTGCGAGTACCGGAAGAACTAGAAGTGCGGAGAGATCACCCGTAAGACTCTTCCCTAAACGCTACAACCCGCACGGCGGCCGCGCCTGTCTGCGGGGACACCGGAAAATACTAGCACTGAGGTCGTGATGGCTCAATGAAACTTCGAGCCAAAAGCCGGAGCCAGAGGTGCCCTGAAGCAGCGAAGCTCCGGAGCAAACTATGCAATGCCCGCTCCAGGCCCGGAGCAAACGCCAACGCCCGCTCCAGGCCCTAGGCACACGGGGCCCTGCATTTGGCCAGCACGAGACTGTGCCACAAAGGAAACAGGCGAAGTCTGCTTTGGACAATTCGCCCCCAACTCGGGAGTGCAGGCTCCCCTGCCGTGCTTCGACGACCGGGATGGGCTTTGCCCCAGCACCCGCACAGCCCTGCTCTGACCCATCATGGGATCGAGCCGGCCTGAGCCGCCTAGAAGCGAGTCTTCCCAATCCTGACTGGTCCTTGCAGTGCGTCCACGAGGCGGGAAGATGAGCATGGAAGTATATGGAAGTAACCAAACTTACTCGGTACACACTGGGGACGAGCTGTAGCTAGTCTAGCTCTACAAATGTTTCAGAAGTCAAGGGACTCTTCAAGTTTGCACTGCACAAGCTGGCCTTGGCCGCAACCGTGAGAAATCCCCCCTTCTGCGCTGCGAGACCACGGCGCTCCAAGGCTGTCCAAATTCTGACACGCTCGACGAAGACCTCCTCATCCCCCTTCAGAATCACTCCCTTCCGAGTGAAAGCCCGGCCCGTCGCCATGTTGTTTAGGAGGGCCTCGTCGGTTGCCTGCCCAAAGTCAGCACGGCCGGTTTCGGCCACGACCCAAAGATACGAATCCGGCGCAAGGAGCTCTACATGCCTTGCTTCCAATCTTCGAAACCCTGGAAGCTTCGACTCCACCGCAGTGAAGCTGCCTTTCGCATCCACCATCTCATGAACCCAACTCGCATCACTTGGGCAAGCTACTTGAAGGAAGTCTTCAGCGTACTGCGCAGCCAATGGCCGTAGTCCTGTCAGACTTGACTCCTTTACAGTCACGCTGGAGGCAGAGTCCAACATCTCGTGAACCCAATTCACAACCGGCAACCAATGAGCTTGCAACATGTTCTCTGAACAAGGTAAACTCAGCAATCGTGACTGCGGTAGAGTTGACTCCTGCACAGACAGGCTGCCAGTTGCATCAAGCATCTCATGAACCCAAGTCGCATCACTTGGCCAATCTGCACGCAGAGACTTCTCGGGAAAGTGCGCCATGAGCAGTCGTGCTTGCGGTAGAGTTGACTCCTGCACGGTCAAGCTGCCAATAGCATCGAGCATCTCATGAACCCAAGTCGCATCAGGTGACCAATCTGCACGCAGAGACTTCTCGGGAAAGTGCGCCATGAGCAGTCGTGATTGCGGTAGAGTTGACTCCTGCACGGTCAAGCTGCCAATAGCATCGAGCATCTCATGAACCCAAGTCGCATCACGTGACCAATCTGCACGCAGAGACTTCTCGGGAAAGTGCGCCATGAGCAGTCGTGATTGCGGTAGAGTTGACTCCTGCACGGTCAAGCTGCCAATAGCATCGAGCATCTCATGAACCCAAGTCGCATCAGGTGACCAATCTGCACGTAGAGACTTCTCGGGAAAGTGCGCCATGAGCAGTCGTGATTGCGGTAGAGTTGACTCCTGCACGGTCAAGCTGCCAATAGCATCGAGCATCTCATGAACCCAAGTCGCATCAGGTGACCAATCTGCAAGCAAAGACTTCTCGGGAAAGTGCGCCATGAGCAGTCGTGATTGCGGTGGAGTTGACTCCTCCACGGTCAAGCTGCCAATAGCATCGAGCATCTCATGAACCCAAGTCGCATCACTTGGCGAATCTGCACGCAGAGACTTCTCGGTATAGCGCGCCATCAGCAAGCGTGATTGCGGTAGAGCTGACTCCTGCAACGCCAGGCTGACAGCAGAATCCAGCATTTGGTGGCTGCAGGCAGGTTCCGGCAACATCTCAGCCTTAGAGCGCATGCGGGCTGTATGTTTGCGGTTGATAGAGAAATGTAAAAAGATGCTATATTCTAGTGTGTATGCTAAGCTGTACTCCAAAAGACGGTAACATACTAATACAATATAAAAAGTCTATTATATACTATACTGTACTAGAATATACTACACCGTGCTATAATATGCTCTAATATACTCGTATGTACTGTAATATCCTAAAATATACTGTGGTAAACTTCCACAAACTGTGATATGCTATAATATACTATAACATGCCAGAATATACTATGATATACTATAAAGAACTATGACATACTATAATATCATAATACTACACGATACTATGATATACTATAAAACAAGACACCAGGGATCGCAAATTGCAGCGCAGGTGCCACCTCCCTGCTCAGGTCCTGCAAGGAGGCATCCAGCATGCTCCCGGCTTGGATGATGACAGGCGCAGCCCTAATTGAATCACCAAGGGTAAGCTCGAAATTCCCAAAGGCTTCCGACACGGGCAGGATAAAGGAGATTGTGCTTGTGCTGATAATCTTGGCGAACGCGTCTCTTGCCCACTTCGAGAAGCCCGCATCCACCACATGGGCGATATCCTCCAACAACCTTCGTCGCCCACGCCGGATCACCCTGCCTGCGCTCAAGCCCAAGTTTCGATAGGTGCCCTCCCACTCCAGCAGCCATCGGTTCGCTTTGCGGGCATGTTCAATGAAGGCCTCCTCGGCCTTGCTCTTGCCGGCCACGTCCAACACAGCATAACCTGCCAGAGCCCAGGATCCTCGGCCAAGGATGGAGTTCATCACCACCGCGCATATTACGATCAAGCCCCTCTGAACACCTTCGTCATCTTCGGTCCAAAAACGCGGATCGCACGTCGTGAGTTCAACCGTCTGCATTCGACTGGTGACCTGCGCTGGCAGCATTGGATGCGCAAAATAACTTGAAGTCAAAGTCTCAGTACAAAAACGTCCCCACCAGCTCTGGAGCAAGACTCTGACGCCCGAGACAGGCCTCCAACTTCACTTCGGGTCCACATCGGAACTCCCTTGCCAGCTTCCGCCTGGCCACGACCTGCAAACTGAAACGAACTGGCAACTTGCCTCGGGCCTCGTTTCCCCTCCGCCCCGGGACCTGCTCGGGTGTGAGTCGCCTGAGCCTGCAACCTTCCGCATCCAGGGCTAGCAGCTTGGCAGTGAACTTGGTATCTGCAGGCTGCATGGGCTGCTTCTCAATCCTGGCATGATGCAATCGTCTGGGGGAGAGCCTACAAGAATGCTACCAGCCGAAGCCAAGAAGCAATTGAGGCGGCAAGCAGCATTGGACCGGCACCTCTCCATGGACAGCAAACCGCCGTAGCGGCAGGGGAAGATTTACGAAGGAAGCAACAGTCTTCCCTCTCCATGCGCCTTTTGCCCCCAAATGACTGCTGACTTGCGGACGCTTACCGCTGGTCTGCCAGACCCGCTTCCGGGTTAGGGCCATCTGGCACCAACATCTGTAGGAGGGTGGAGCTATGCAGAGCTCCTTCATGAAATCCGCGCTCCCAAATGACCGACTGCGGACGCTTACCGCTGGTCTGCCAGACCCCGCTTCCGAGTTAGTGGAGCTATGCAGAGCTCTTTCATGAAATCGACCGCACCTACTGCCACGAGCCGAGGCAAGCGGAAGAATCAAGGGTGCAGCATGGAAACAAATGCAAGACCTTTGCGAACGTGAACTTGAACTTCGAGTTGGACAACGCTCATTCCTCTAAAAAAAGCTAGGTCTCCGTTGTTCATGCAGCGAGCTGTCCCGATGTGAGCTCATCCCTCGAACATGTAACGGACCGATGGTCAAGACCACAACCACAGCAAGTGCTTGGGATTCGGAAGGCGTGCGCGGAAGCATGCGTGAGACAAAGTTTCGCAAAAAGATGTTGTCCGTGCGCAACTTTGGACTGCTGAAATCTGGGATTTGATGTCATGCTAGAATCTTTGTACAGCAACAACAAAACGTGTTTAAAGCTTCCAACAACAACTAATGGATCAAGTGAATTTTGCAACGTCGACATGCAGCTCGTACCCTGGGAGCAAATTGCATCCAGCGTGCACACAAATGTCGGAACGCTTTTTTTTGTTTTTTCAGACGAACAGAAATCAGAGAAAAAATCAGACTTGTGTTGGTCCCAAAATTCTCTCTGACATTTGTGTTTGTTGTCATGTGAATCACGGGCCAAGCAATTTTTTGCCTTGAAGTGAAATGTGGCACATGGAATTCACGGCCGTTGCACAGACAAGTCTCTGGAACGATTTTGTCTTGCAGCTATTACACGTGCTTTCCAGCTAGCACACTTTATGAAAGCAACACGCACTTTTAACTTGATCAACAGCGTAATGATCATAAACTTGCATGTCGTGTTTCGAACAAAATCTTGAATGGCTAAACTAAACTGGACATTTTCTTGTGCTGTCCAAGCCATACGTCCATGCCGAAGTGCTGAAAAGATGTTCAGTTGCAGCCACCTCTGTGAAACTACCTGAAGTGCACGGAAGGCACTGCTCTGTACTTCAGCTCTTCTGGCATGTCCGCAGCCGTCTCTGGACCAATGCAATCAAAGCCGGTCTTTTTTTTGGCGTGGGCGGGCCTCGTGGACAGCGGCTGCTGCGCTCGGTCCCAGTAAGAAACTACAAGAAGCCAAGAAAAACGACAAGAACGTAACAAACCGTACAAGGTGAAACAACTCGCTGCGACATACAGACTTAGCCGGCAACTTCGTTCAGCGTTAATTAAGTGCACTCGGGCCCACACGTTCACTGGCCCTGCTCCCCGTAAAGCCTGGGTCGCGCAATGGCAAGAACAAGACAAGCCCCGCTTCCCGAAATTAGGGGTTGCGCAATGGCCAATATGGATGCATTGTCAACGTGCCCCGAGCTCCATAAATTGGGTCCACATAAGCACCCGGCAAGCTAAGAGATAAACCAAGCAATGTATGCCAGAACGGTGCCAACGTACCCGGTAATATCCTTCAGAGCATACAGGCCATGCATTGTTCCTGCTGAAGGCTGCTGCCTCAAAGCCGAATGGCCAGGGCGTACAATGGCAAGAACAAGACAAGCCCCGCTTCCCGAAGTTAGAGGTTGCGCAATGGCCAATGTAGATGCATTGTCAACGTGCCCCGCGCTCCATAAATTGGGTCCTCATAAGCACCAGGCAAGCTAAGAGATAAACCAAGCAATGTATGCCAGAACGGTGCCAACATACCCGGTAATATCAATCAAAGTCGGTCGGTTAGAATGCACAATGATTGATGCTGAACACTTTGCGGCTCCGGAAATGGAAGCGAAAAGCCGAGCGCAGTGCGGTGAACGGTGAAAAAATTCGACTGAAAAAGAGAGAGCCGCGCCGCTGCACGGCAGCATCTGTTAACACTGCCAACTGCGTCACGCATGTATGCTGTTCCCTTCGGGCGTCTCGTTCGCCAGCCACATGGTCCAGCTACGATGTATCAGTGTACTGCACGCTGACCTGCAGTGCAGTGGCTTCATTTCCGACCAATGTGGGAAGACCTTTCCCCAGCTGTGTGAACAGGACAGGTGGATCTTCTCCAAAGGGGTTTGTCTTTCAACCTTGGAACTGCCTTTGATGCAGATGTGTTCTTTGGCGTGAGTGGGCCTCGGTAACAGCGGAGACGTCCAAGTCGGTTGATGCCACCAAGGATCGGATGCGTGCTTGGTGAGAATGCCGAGGCCAGAGAGCAGGGCTGTTTCAGACCAAGGCTGTGAGGTTCTGCGCAAGAAAACATGTGGAGCCTTGCATGTTGCCCGCTTCTTGTCAGTGCAAACAGTCTCATGTCTACTTTTCCGAGTCAAACTTTTGACAATCTTTCATGCAATTCTAAATCGGATTTGGACAGAATTCACCCACTACACTGGCACGGTTCGGCTGTGCTTCCTCTTGAGGAAGTCGCTCTGGGTTCGACGCCGCTCCTTCTCCCTGCGGGGCTTCTTCACGCACTCAGTCGGATCCGCAAAACTTCTGTTGGCTGGATCTTACAGGTGTGTTACCGCAAGAGCTTTTCACTTGCGCATCGGATAGTTCATAAGCCAGACGATCCTAGAAAGGATGCGCTGTGCTCAGTTTGGGTCATTGGCAGGCACATGAGGACTGGCTGAAGGGGAATGCTGTCGGATTGGTGGACTTGCACCGGCACTGACGTCTTTTGGACACCCGGGCATGATGTATGAGTCACAGGTCTTGCAACGGCACAGAGTCAAGTGCAGACACTGTATGGGTCCACCCACCCAGCAGCTGAGACCTCGAGCGTGTTGGAGAGCAGCAAACATCGGTGGTCGCATGGGGCATCAAATTGCTACTTACCAAGGTTTCGAAACTTTTCGAGGCTTGTGAGCTTCAGGGCACCATAGTCTGCCTGCCCATTTTGGAAAGCTCCAGATCATCGAAGTCTGACAAGAGAGCCCCTGGACCCGTGTCAGTGCATCCGGTGCGCGTTTCAAACCTTTTTTTGGCGTGGGCGGGGGGCCTCAAAGACAGCAGTTGCTGCACTCGGTCCCAGTAAGAACTACAATAAGCGAGAAGAGTGAACAAATGCCTGTACAAAGTGAAACAAGAGCTGCGACATACAGACTTAGCCGGCAAAGTCGTTCAGCACGAATTAGGTGCACGCTGGCCCACCTGCTTCCCGTAAAATTTGGGTCGCGCAATGGCCCACATCAAAACTGGCCCTGCCGCCCGCAAACATGGGCAACGCAATGGCTCGCAAAGTTGCATGGATGGCGGCACGCAGCCGTCCATAGCGGCATCTTAAAGCAGGGCCCGCACAATGAACGTTGGGAGCTCATAATGTAGGCGGCCCAGAGCAAGGCTCCAGAACATGCGGCTGGTGCCATTTCCAACAGCGGGCAGCTGTGTCGCACAGAACTTGCCGCCAATAGGCAGGATCCTCCATATGTTCATCATTGAGAGCATACAGGAAAACCCACTCGCATCGTTCATGGCGACCAATAAGCTGTGGCTTGGTAAAATAGAAACCAGACGGTGCGTGCAAGTCAAACCCATCCCACCAACCACCCCCCTTTTCACCACCATACAATACTGTGGCGGGGCACGTGGTTTGAAAGTGGTTTCACAAAAATGGAACCGATATAAATGGAGTTATCTTGAAAAGTCCGTCCAAATATATTCGTATGAAATCGCAGTCAGAGTGTTTCAACTGACATGCATGTACAAGACCGCATGGGCTGACATGTAGCAGACTCTCGCGCAACGATGTTTTCCCTCTTTGTTGGATCGGAATCCCCATTCGGCGAAGTGCATGTGCTGCGCTTGCAGCGCCTTAGGCGAAAGCAAGCCTGCCCACTCCAAGCACATGCAAGACGCCAGGGTTGGGAGGGTGGGAGCTTCAAAATCTCACCACTTGACCCTGTGGCTGCCATGCAATAGACATGATTCGCATGCAGCATAAAATAATCAATCGAGATAAAAAGGGAAGAATCTCTGCAAAGATTCATGCGTTCAATTTCCCCCAAAAAGGAACGTCCCCCAAAGTCCAGCTTCTTCGAAGCCTAGTGTCCCAGTTTCCGGAAAAAGGAACACCCAAAATCAAATAGAAGATAAAGGCTCCAAAGAGCTTTTGCCTCCCGCAAGAGAAGGTACACGCAGTGTACCAAGCACATGGGTTTGAAGAGCACACACACTGACGCAACAAGTCGCGAACGCGTGCGTGCAAGTCAAACCCATCCCACCAACCACCCCCCTTTTCACCACCATACAATACTGTGGCGGGGCACGTGGTTTGAAAGTGGTTTCACAAAAATGGAACCGATATAAATGGAGTTATCTTGAAAAGTCCGTCCAAATATATTCGTATGAAATCGCAGTCAGAGTGTTTCAACTGACATGCATGTACAAGACCGCATGGGCTGACATGTAGCAGACTCTCGCGCAACGATGTTTTCCCTCTTTGTTGGATCGGAATCCCCATTCGGCGAAGTGCATGTGCTGCGCTTGCAGCGCCTTAGGCGAAAGCAAGCCTGCCCACTCCAAGCACATGCAAGACGCCCACGCGAAGCCGGAGCCGAATGATCACCACTTGGTCCGAGCCCGCTTGGGCCCCTTTCGTGGCCCGGCTGAAAGCCCTCCCCTCTTTGTCAAGGCAGTCTTTGCCTCGACCAGCTCCGAATGGAAGGATGCGGCTGAAGCCAGCAACGAACCCAGTACGA